GAATATGATAGAGTCAACATGGTAAAATGTTAGCATTTGGGTACCACAGGGCGAAGGGTATTTGGAAATTCTTCACACCATGTTTTATAACTTTATATCAGTAATGATTTCAACATAAAATGTTCTGTAAAAAGATATTGTCTGCTTTGTACTGCAAATATTTTCTTCAAGTTTTCATTTGTCTCTGTTTTATGTTGTGTGACATTTGTTATTTCTTTTTTATTTCACGCTTGGATAATTTAAATCATACTTCTACAGGCCTGTTTTTCTGTCCTCGAGAGCAGTCATGTCTGCCTGATGAGCACTCCAGTTCTTAATGTTGGAAACCTATTGCTGTTCAATAATTATTTGATAAATACATTAATAAATACATTAATAACTATAAGTAATCTTCCCCAATTCTAAAGAAGATACATTTTTACACATGGGTATTTCTAAATCTCCACAGAGTGTAATATTTCTATAGCCTATTAATGTATCTCGAACTTATTTTGTTGTGTACAGGAGGTGGAGGAAGGTTTATTTTCCCCTGAAGACTAATTGTTTCAACACTATTTGTAAAGCAGATCTTCCTTTCTAGAGTTTTGAAATGTCACCTTCATTATATGCAGTATCTTTTTTTTTTAAAGACTTCAGATACAGTAAAGGTTTTCATGAAATCATAAATCATCATCCAGTGGTACTTGTGTTCCTTTATATCACAAAAGCTCCTTAATCTTTCATGTAATCTTTACTTTTCTGACAACAGCATTGCCTGGCTGTTTTCCACATTAGTCACCAGTTATCCAAAGGGATTGTAAATACACATTTACAATTAAATTAAAAGGCCAAAACGAAGAAACGAAGAATGAAGACACTTTAAATGGGTTTCTCTTCCTAACCCGTAAGATCATTCGTAGGGTGATCATTTCCAACTGATATGAACTAATTCTAGCATTTCTAGTTGCCAAAAAAGAGGGAAATAGAATGCAAGTGATCATGCTATTCATTGGTGAGTTGTCTTCTTCCACTTCAAAGTATTTTCAAGCAATGGCTAATTAATGATTTACCTAATTGGGCATTTGTTCCTAAAGGTACTTTATAAGTTGTACTTTTTAAACAAAAGCTTCACAGAAACTGGAATCTTTATTATTATTTCTGCTGATGCTTCATGTATGAGTTTTTATTAGAATTGTTTGTCTTCTTTGGTCTTTCAGTGAATGAGACATACACACTTCACTTTTGACTGATCCTGGTAGACTAAATTATTTTTGTCATTGCAAGATGCAAGAAAAAAATCTTAAAAGGAGACCGCCATGTCTTCTTTGCCCACCTCATACTGATTTCCTTAAATTTGTACTTATTCCGCCTCCACCACAAAACACCGTCTCTTGTACTACTTTGCAGACAAATCTTGCTCCTTCCTCTACCCACCGTGTTATCGCCAGTTCTGCTTGCCAAACAACATCTTCTCTACCTTTCAGTTCACACTACGTCCTTTGTCAAGATGTCTCAGGGAATGATTTGGTAATGCTATTTTCAGAGGTGACAAAGAGGGATGGGACATAGGCAGCTCTGACATTTCAGTGGATGTATTTTACCAGCTGATGGTGAGGGAAATGTTTGGACCTATTATGTTCTTGAGGTAAAGAGGCAAAGCTGTACAATCAGAGATTTGGGTTCTAGTCCTACCTCCATTTAAGCCCAATTTCCTCATAGAAATAATATTTTTATTTCTTAAAAACATTGAAATATAAGTGACATACAATATCATATTAGTTTTAGGTTTCATCATAGTGATTTGATATTTTTATGCATTATGAAATGATACCCACTGTAAGTCTAGTTACCATCCACCATCAAAGTTATTATAATATTATTGACTATATTCTCTATGCTGTATATTACAACCCCATGACTTATTTTATAAGTGGAAGGTTGTACCTCTTAATCCCCTTCATCTATTTCATCTGACCCCTTCTGGCAACCAACAGTTTGTTTCCTGTATCTGTGAATCTGTTTCTGTTTTGTTCTGTTTGTTCATTTGTGTTGTTTTTTAGATTTCATGTATAAATGGAATCATGCAGTATTTATCCTTCTCTGTCTGACTTATTTCACTTAGTGTAATACCCTCTAGGTCCACCCGTGTTGTTGTATATGCTGAATCTGATACCCTCATGAGGATCTGTATCAGAAGGTTGTATTCTATTTCAATAACTCTTGTCTTGAAATTCTTTTCTTCTGAGAAAAAGGGAGGAAGGGAGGGAGAGAGTGAAGGTGGGAAGAGGAAGGGAATTAGGAAGGAAGGAAAAGTGGAAGGGAGGAATTTTTGAGAGTATCCACTTTCTCCAGAGTCAGTCTGCATGGGTTTAAATCTCAATTACAGGTTTGTGATCTCAGGCAATTTAACTCATCTTTTTCTGCCTTCATTTCCTCCTCTGTATTATAAGGATAATACATAGTACCTACTTAATAGTATTGATTAAGAGAAAAAGATGACTTATTATTTGTAAAACATGCATAGTAAGCATTATGAATTATTTGCTATGTCTTTAGCCCCTTTACTATTATTTAATAGTGCTATCTGCTTTTTGTTATGTCTACTTATATTCTGTATTATTTCTCCTGGCTTTCTGTAGTTTATGTCCATGCTTTCTGTTCTCCATTTCATTATTCCTATATTTGAAAATAGACTCCAATGTTAAGGCTTCAAATACCATTTTATGCAGATAATGAAGAAACATAAAACTCTAGTTCTGGCCTGTCTTCGAGTTTCTAGTTTTCGAATCCAACATATCTTTGGATCGTTCCAGTAGGATTTCCTACCAAAATTGCAAACATAATGCCACAAACTGAATTAGTCATCTTCCCTTTGATGTTGGCCAATAGCATAATATCTTAACATTCAGACATAAAATTTAATCTGTATTTCCTCCCTTCTCAATCTAACCAGTTACCAAATCTTCTTAACATTTTGTAGCAATGATTCTCTTGAGCTTTTCTATCATTCCTCTCATAGTTAGTTCAACATACTTTTATATTTCAACACCTACACTTAACTTATCCTTCAACTTTTTCTCTTTTCAATCTTGGCATCTGGTGACCAATCTGCTTAAAATGGGAATTTGGAATATAATCACTTATCATTTTGAAATTCTTCAATTAGCTTCCTATTGCCTATAGATGAATCTTAAATAGAATGGAATCTCTACAAAGAGAAGAATTTTCATGCATTTTGTTCAATGATGTAACTCAGTGCCTAGAAGAGTTCCTGGCACATAGTCTATAACATGATAAAAAAGTTTATTGAATGACTGAGTGAACCCTAATCCTGGCATTCAGGGACGTCCATAGTTTGCCTTCAGTGTTTAACCCAAGCTAGTCAATCTCCTCCTTTTCCTCTTAATTTACACAACTCCATACCTTCCTCTCACCCATCTGCTGTTAGTCTTCTACTGTGCTTTGAAGCATACTGTCTTTCTCCTCTCCACCTATGTAAATCCTCTTCACTTTTTGAGGCCCGGCTATGTCCAAGGTCTCTGATTAACTGTCTTGATCAATTAAATCTATGCTAATCTCTACCATCCTAAAAAGTGTATTCCATTTAAACCTTACATTGCTTACTTTTTACTGAGCAAACAACTCCTCTCCAGCAAACAAATATACTCTACTTGAGGATATGTGTACCCTTTGGCATTTTCTGCATGATAAGGGATCTATTAACCCTAACTAGTAAATGTTATACCCAAAGAATCTGAGATACATTTTAATAGTAACTCCATTTTGCACAGCATTCAAATATTCAGACTCAATACTGTAAATAGAAAAATTATGTTTTTAATTGTTAAGTAATTGATGGGGGAATGGAGACAAAGGTTAGGTGAGTTACTCCTAAATTCTTATCTATTCTTTCCACCAAACCAAATTACCTCTCCTTTAGTTGGCCAGTAGTCAAAAATGGTTTGAAGCTTAAGGCTATTTAAAACAACTTTTTTCCCTCGGCCCTGGATTTCTAGGATGATTCTAGAAAGTTGTGGCTATTTGTTACAAAAACTGGTGGGGAAGAGTGGGATTTTACAGTGGCTACACCTGACAGGAGGCAACTTAACTGAGTGATCAAAATTAACATTACTAGGAATAAGATACATCAACATTATGTATACCCAGTATGATGCCCTGAGAAAGATATATCTCTTTAGTGGTATTTATGCTGAAAATATATAATATAACCTGAATGTAATCATGAGAATATGTCACACAAATCCAAATTAACAGACCTTCTACAAAATGACTTACCAGAGTTCTTTAAAAGTGTCAAATTCATTAAAGACAAAAGACAGGACCTTCCACAGATGGGAGGAAACTAAGGAGATATGGCAAAACCATTTAAGCACTCTTTACTAATTAACTAACTAAACCTAATGGAGGAACCTGGGCCAGACAAAGGACATTTGAGAAAACTGACAAAATTTGTAGAAGCCCTATAAGTTACTTAATAGTATTGTATCATTTTTAATTTCCTGATTTTGATAATTGTACTGTGGTTCTAGAAGATACTAGCTTTAAAGGAAGTCAGCTGAAGGGGATACAGGAACTTCTGTACTATTTTTGTAACTTTTATGTAAATCTAAAAGTAATTCAAGATTAAAAGTTGACAAATTAAGGGAGAGGAAGACGACTTAAATTATATATTCTTGGAGAAAAAAAATACCCCAAATTTTTCTTGGAGGAAAAAGCTTCCCAAATTCCAAGGGTCATATCAATCATTTGCATCCACGTTGTAACTTTAATCGTTATAATATGTTTGTAATGTGGGATGGTTTCAGTATGTGGAATGGTCGTTAGCTGTAGACTGTATTCAGAATAGACAAGGAAAACTTAGAGAAATGATATTCAGTGTATTCAGTGGTATTCAGTAGTCAGTCATTAAACAGACATGCCCAGTAGTATTTTAGGTGCTGAAAATACAGGGGGATCAAGATAGTAGGTCCCTGGTTTCCTAGAATTTCCAGTCTTATTAATAGGAAAGATAAAACCAGAACTCTTGTTTTTGCAAAGATTGTAAGGTGGACTTCTCAGCAAGAAAAGGCTGTTGGGATATCAGGGCTTATATAGAAAAAGAAATTTGTTACAAACATTGGAGAAGGTATTCAAATTGGTAAGGCCCTGGTCTGTTAGCATGTTCTTAGGATGCCTACGTGCAGACCATTAATCCATGGTTGTTTAATCTGCAGAAAGCAGAAACGTGGATCACGGTAGAGAAACATCAGTAGAAAGGAAAGGAATGAGTGAAGGGGAGGCAAAGTAGCCATGAGAAGCGTCGTCGTCAGTTTGTACTGTGACTTAGGCAGCAAGCATCACTGCAAGAAAAGCAAGTCGAGGGGAGTGAAGGACTCCGACGAGCTGAGTGAGGTTTCAAAAGGTGCGTGTGAAGAGGCCAGCCAAAAAGATTGGGGCTGGGAAACATGCAAGAGGAGAACATCAAATTGGGGACTGCTGGAGAGGGAACGGTACACCGACACTTCCACGAAGGAAGGCTGCTAGCCACCTACTAGCCTCGGAGTGCGGCGGGAGCGCGGCGTGGGAAGGAAGAGCGTCGGGGCGGCGCCGGGCGGCTGCGTGCGCACCCGGGGCCCCGCGGGCCCGGGGGCTTGCGGACCCGGGCGCTGGATCTGGGCGCGGCGCGGGGGGACGGATGCGGGGCGGAGGGGGAGGTGTGCGCAGAGTTTGGTGATGTCACTGCAAGTCGGTGCGCGGTGAAATTTAACACCGGCCTGATGTGCTTGGCTCCTCTCCTTCCAGGCGAAGCTGCCGGCCGTAGTCAACGCTGAGCCCCTGCAGTTGCCACCGGCCCCCTCGCGCGGAGTAGATTTTCGAAGTGGGTGTGTGCGCTTGTCTGACAAATGTTCCGGCGCGGGTTGTTTCCGAGGACTTCCTTCCCCCAGCCCCCACCGCTCTCTCCTCCCAGGCCCAAGGCAGAGGACTCCACTGGAGTCACAGAGTCGCCTTTGAACCGCAAGTGAACTCGAGCGCTGCGCCCGCGGCCGAGCTCCAGCAGCTGCCGGCGTCCCGCCGCCTGCCAGTGAGGTCTCCCTCCTTGCCTGCCCTCCTGCGGGAGCGCTCTCCCCCGGCTCGTTGGCTACCGAGCCTGGGAGTTAGGAAGCCTAGCCGTCTACCCTGCGGGCGCTGCGCCTCTCCCCCCTTCTATACCCCCCTCCCTTTGTTGTGGTGGTGGGGGGTGGTTTTGGAGCATCGTTTTCACGTGATTTTCCCCCCTTTTTTTCATGGACAGTACCTGTACCCTTAGCAGTTCGGAGCTGGCTTCTGTTTTCCGTTAGCGCTTCGCTGCAGGGTCAAATGCATACAAATGCATTTAGGAGCCCACAGGACAAGGCGTGGAAAGGTCTCCCGCACAGCAAAAACGTAAGTAGCCCACCCTCCGGGGTTAGAACAAGCTCCCTCCCCGCCTGCCCGACCGCTGATGCAGTTGGAGACCTGTGATCTCGCTCCTTGGCACTTTTTGAAGGTGGGAGCCTGTGAGCAGCCGTGGCACCCTCTTCTTGTCTCCTCAGTTTGTACAATACCGTGTTTGAAAGGAAGCCCCCTGCCAATGGGTTTTTCAGACAGTTTGTACTAAAGAGATCCTGCGGCTCGGAAGGAAAAGCTCGCTGGCGCATGTCCCGACGCCGGCGGCAGCGTTTCCCGCGGCTCCGGAGCGGGCTCGGACGCCTGCCCGGGCTCCCGCCGCCCGCGCGCTCCTTGCCTCTCCTCCCTCAGGGCCCTGGCTGAGGTCTGCGCGTCCAGCCTGGGGACTGCTGGCGCTGGCGGCCCCCTGGCTCTGCGCTCGGCATAGGCGTGGGACGGGGCTGCTGGATGAGGGAGAGGGTGCCCGCAGGACCTCAGGCATCAGGACGCTACTAGATCCACGCGACTCAGAGGCAGTCGCCTCCTGTCTTTAAGGAGGCTAACAAACGTGCTGCCTGTCTGGGGTTTAGATTGCGCTCTGATCGCCAGTAAGTCACACGGGAAAGGACCGGTCGCGGGGGGCGGGGCCGCTCCTCCCCGGGAGGGTTGGCTGCAGCTCCGACTAGCTCCCCGACGCCTCTCTGGGCGCTGTACCTGCTCCCACCCCTCACTGAGAAAAGAGCGTGGGTGGGGCGGGGTGCATGGTCTTGGCTGGCTGCCCTGGTCCCGTTGCAAAAGGTCAGTGGGTAACGCACGTTTGTTTCTGGTCTCGGGACGAAAGGGAGGAAAGTGGCTGTGTCTATCTCTGCCGCAAGGCTGCTCCTAGGAGGAGGACAGGGGGCAGTGCGGACCGTGCCAGATAAAGGCAGGCGCAGGCGGGATGCGGAGAAAGACCGCCTTGTGGCAGTGTTTTTATGAACATGTGCTTCCCAGCCGCGTGCAGCCGAGCCTGGATGGGGCTCGCGAGCTCTGTCCTCCGACCCCTGGAAGCCCTGGAAGCTGGCTTTCCCCACCGACAAGCAAACACCTCCTCACGCGCCAGCATCAGGGTGAATCAGTGAGGAGGAGATTAGCAACCTCTCCAAGCCCGTGCAAGCCGCGAGGTGCAGGGGGTCATGGAGATACAGGCCGAGAAATGGTCAGGTTCTGCGGGTTACCTCCCCACAGAGGCTAACGCAGGTTGCAGTTGGTTCCCAGGCAGGCTTCCTGTCACTTTTCTTGATAAAACGCCTCTGCGTAGATCCACCTGGAAAGCGGGACTTGGGGGGTATGGCCAATCCCGTGGGACTGGGCGCGTCTTCCTTTTGATCCCGAGCGCATGGGATGGTGGAATGGGACCCCGCAGGTCCAGAGCCACCAGGAGAGGCTGGGCGAGGCCTTCTACCTCCTGTCGGACCGCAGCTCTCTCGTTCATCCTTGTGCCTTTCTTGCCTTCCCTGACAGCTTCCACCCCAGGTGTTTCCTTTCGCCACTGAGCAAGGTCTAGCAGCTGCCTGACGTTGCCCTTGATAACTGTGACCAACTCCGAGGATTAAAGCAGATCTTCTGCTCCTGGCCAATGTCTGGTCTGGTTTACACTTCCCTTCCAGACTCTCCCAGAAAAGGCCCTGCGTAAATTCTTGGGCAGTTTGGGGTTTGTAAATTGGGTCCAGATGATTGGGCGGAGGGAGGCAGAAGAACCAAACAGAATGGATTACACCGAGGAACTTCGGAGGAAAAGTTACACTAGTGCAATGGGAAAAGAACCCTGTGGAGAGGCCCTGGGGTTGGTGGCAGATCCTGTGTGAAGAGGCTTTTCTCCCTCAGCCTCCCAGAGGGCCTCTTTGCCAGGGGCTTTGCAGCCTCCTTGGGTATCCAGTCAGTTGCCAGTGCAGTTGGGCTGCAGGGAATTAAGGGTAATTCAAGGTTACATCAGATTGCAGCCCCTTGCAACTCCAACCACACATACAAAGTGGGGAAAAGGTAGTTACTGACTGAGCTGAGAAAATTGTTTCTCAAAAAACAATTTTTTATAAAGAATTCTGTGTTCTTCAGTTGAAGAAGAAGAAGAAGAAAAGACGCTACCAAACATATAGGGAGGGGACTTGGGAGAAGCACCCTAAGGTTTTAATTTTCCATGATTCTTTTATGGTAGTATTTTGTAAAAGCAGGGGCAGTTTTTTAAAATCACCGTTCTGATTAGTCACCCCAAAACATTCTCTGTTTTAAAACTGTATCCTTAAAGACATTTTATTTCATAGGTTGCTTTTAAATAGGTATCTAGTGTGACTTTGTGGAATTAATAAAAGGAAATTAACCCAAAAGTCAACAGTAGATACACTGATTTAACATATTATCAGAAAGCTTTCCAGGCAGGCAACTGTGGTAATTAAAGGGTTTCTATAACCAAAAGGGGGACAGGGGAGTTTTGGATATAAAGATCTATTTCCTAGCTGGCATGAAATTCTGTTTTTTAAAGTTGCTTAGTTTTCTCTATGTTTAACTAGAAGTTTAAAATAAACTCATGTCTTAGGGAGGAGAACTGTAATTTATGGGGAGTAATTTTGAATGTTGTTCAGACATTTTGTTGGTAATCTGTGAAGTTTCAGGAGAAAAATAAATTTGTATTTATGGGAATTACAATAGCTGTGCTAGTTTCCTTGGCATAATTTATAGTAGTTATTTTAGAATTTGTAACTGAGTGAGAAGTGTAGACCATTTCATTTTCATTCTCATAAAAGGCTAGCATTATTCTAAATAAGTCATTCATTTACTTATTGTTCATTCATTCATTTATTCAACAAATGTTTACAGAGCTCCAACTATGTACCCAGCATGGTTCTAGTTAGAGGGATACAAGAGTCAAGCAAGACAAAAACACAACTGCTGTCCTCCCAGTGTACCCAGTGTAGTATAGGAAACAGAAAATGAAACAGCTAAGAATAGCAAAATGAGATATGGATGTATAGAGGAGAACACCTTGCAGTCCTGGGTAGGGGATACAGGAAAGGATCATACTAGAGGGCAAGACTGACCAAAGGAAATGAAATCTAGTCTGAGACCTAAGTTGAAAAGACATGAAACTTGCCAGAAAGAGAGAACAGTAAAAGCTCAGAGACAGCACAGTACATTTGAGGGCCTGAGAGAAATGGAGTTGGTTGGAGCATACATTCTAGGGAGGAGAGCCCAGGGCTGGTTCTGGAGAAATAAGTGGGGAATAGATTATGAAAGGCCTTTGAACCAGGTTACTTACCTTAATAAATGGAAGTTAGGATGACCTGATTTCTTGATCTTGGAATTAGTGTACAAGTAGAAGATACTAGAGAAGTTATATGTTGTAACTCAAAATCACCTGATAGTCTTATTGACTGAAAATTGGCTGATTTATTCACTTATTTAAAAATCTTTAATAGTAGTGTGTGAAAGGAACTTTGTTAGGCTAGGCGCCAATCAGTATAATGATTTCTGTGGTATTATGAGGACAGATTAAATATATTTTTCTTCCCTGTAGTGACTGGATTCAAGGCCTTTTGATTACTTAAACTCCTTAAGCATTTATCTCCCTTGTGCTTCATGAATTGCCTGCATGCTTGGAATTCAACCAAAAGCTCTGGTGTGCTTCACAGAGCATTAGTTATACAAGTACCTGTTGACTTGAATTGAGAGTCTAAGAAATTCATTGTTTTTTAAGTTGATGACAACACTTTACTCCCTGACTCGTCCAACTTTATCCTTACTGCTGGGATAAGACCTGTTTTTCAGTTATTTGGGGGAACAAAGGACAGAAATTTTACTATTTCTGGATCTTAGCAGCTAATAAAGAGTAAAAATTTATAAGCTATTATGACTTAGAGAAGTTTTTGGCTTGTAAATATTGAAATTACTCATGTATATCATAGGTGTGTGTTTTTCAGATAAGTTCACCCTTTCCAGTTGATTTAAATGAAAATTATCAACTCACTAAGAAAAAAAGTTTCCTGTTCCCAATATTTTACAAGTCCTTCTTACTATTATAAATTGAATCTATGTAGGCAAAAGCATCAGTAGCCTGACATGCATCATGTTACTTGAGGGTCTCATGGGAACCCTAAACAAAAACATGTCTGGGATTCCATTAAAGTAACTTAGACCCTCCAGATAAAGAGAAAGTTGAATAACTCTTAGAATTATTTAGGGAAGATGTCTGGGATGGATATTAGTTCCTAAATATTTTGAGTATAGTCTTTGGATATCTATTTCCTGCCTGATTCCCATTAGGCCTTTCCCCTCAAATGTTTGGTTATGTTTTAACAGTGGCTTATATAAAATTAAAAATATGGCTAGCAGACCAGGCACATAGTATTTGATATTTTGTTGGATGTCTTCAGATATTAATATCATAGTGTCTTGCCTGAGGGTTTCAGTCCTGGGCAAGTTCACTATGGATTTGGTGAGACTGAGAAATCACAACAGAAAGTTCTTGGGGTAAAAGGGATTATATCCAAATTATTCTTATGATGGTAGGTTGAACACTAGAATCAAGTCAGCACTGAGCAGTCTGTAGGTCTGTAATCCACCTCTCCCTCTGTACCCACCCAGAGCACTGGTCAGAGCTCTTTATATAGTGACTCAGTCAATATCTCATTGCCTGTGAGTGTGGAAGCCTTAGCCTTAGCAGTAGGTCAATTATATCATCAAGTAGTTTAGGGTCAGGTGAGGATCCTGGTTATAGGAACTCCCATTTCTCCACACGTGGATTGTATTTCCTGAGCCTTTATTGAGTGTTTGTTACATATTGTTGACTTCTTTTAGAAATGATCTGAATTTGTTAAATGTCTGAGTATATGTACTTTTGATACTTTATATTAGGGATATACTGTCTAGACTTAGGAAAAAGTAAACAAAGCCAGACATGCTTTGAATGTTTGAAAAATATTCATATGTAATATGCTAGTATTTTTGTTAGAGTAAACTAAATATATAAACAAATTAGCAAGCTATATTAGGTTACTTAATTAAAAGAGTATTAGTCAAAACTGTAGGAAGACCTTCCCAGATTTGTGGTTAAATCTATACATAGAGATTTATAACATCTTGCTAAGTAATTTTATCTTTGTCCTCTAATGCTAGTATACTAATAGGATCCCACCAAACACATAGATTTCAGGGTTTTGTATTTGGAAACATAATATATGACTCAGCTAAGATTCAGAAAATTGAAAGATCCCACACATTAGAATTAGGATTAGTTTTTTGACTGCCAGTCTAGTGTTATTTTTTAATTAACCATGGTTGTTTTCTCTCCAACAACTTACTACAGCCTTAATTCTAACTTACTCAAGGACTCCAGCATGTCTGATGACTAATTAACTGCACAGCACAGGGAGACACAAAGTGCAGCTGCTGCCCTTGGGAGCTCTATCATCTACTGTTAACATGGAAATGTGATATTTTTTCTTTACTAAGGAAATGTGTAGTAAATGTAATATGGGGGGTGGCAAAACCAAAGAAATAAGCAAACCAACCTGTCTTGTCAATGGATGTCAGCCCTGGGCAAGTTCACTATGGATTCAAGTGACCAAAGAAATGACAGTAAAAGGTTCTTGGGGTGAAAGGGTTATACCCAACTTTATTCCCACAGTGGCAGGTCAATCACCAGAATCCTATTCATTCAGAGCAAGTCTGCATGCAGCAAGCCATCTCTGCCTCTAAGCCTCTGTGCTCCCGCAGCCATCTCAGTCTTTGTCCTGGGCACTGCCATCACTTCAGTCTGATCTCTGCTCTCCTGCAGCTTTGCAGCCCTGCCAGTGTGTCGCTCAGAGCACTGGGCGGAGCTCTTAACATAGAGTCAATAATGACATATTGCCCACACGTGTGTAGTGAACTAGCCAACCAGGGCCAGGTGAGGATCCTGGCCACAGGAACCTTCACTTTGTCCACACAACCCATTAGGCATTTCCCAGAAAGTTTAGATTCATTAGTTTTGAATGGAGTTTGGCTCTTCATTAAACTTATATCAATTTAGCTTGATGTGTTCTCTGCTTTCTCACTTCAGAGATGAGAAAAACAGTTAAAATTTTTAAAAAGAAGAAGCTTTACCCTACCATAGCAGATTAAAAAAAACTTCTTTCTCTTTGGACATCCAACTATAGTACCCTTATTTTACTTTACTTTTCTCAAGTGTTAAAATAATTAGTTCCATAGGGAAGAATTGAATTCCTCAGTCATTAGGAGATACTATTGTTATTCCTTTTCAGTTAAAAAATATTATTAGGTGTCAATTTCATGTTAGAAAATGGATGAAAGGTGAAGACATATTACTTGCTCAGATATTTACTTACTAACTAATCATAAAAGTAGAACACACTCAGGCTACAATAAAGTCACAAGTAAAGCATGAAGAGTACAGAGAGGAAAGATCCAGTCCTCTTTAGAAATGATGGAAAACTTCATGAAGCAGAAGTTGCTCAAATTAGGCTTTAAGATTCTGACAGGTGGAGACTGAGAAGCCATTTCACACACAAGTCTGACCAGCATAGTGTGGTATGGCTGGAGCTGTGGGGTGGATGTAGCGGATCCAAATTGCTAAAAAAAGGTTGGAGCTGAATGATAAAGCCTTGAACATCTGGTAAGTAAGATGACTTCTCCTATTCTTCCTTGGTTGGTTATTAGTTTTGAGCATAATTAGAAAAAGAGGAAGAAAATCTATTTCAGTCATCTATCTCTTCCTCCATATTAGTCATCAGCTTTAGTACATAGGTACACTTACATAAGGTATGGCTCAACTGATTTGTCATAATCCTTAAAACCATCTGGCTAAGAGATGATGTTTGATGTGTTCAGGTTTTCCTGCCTTATGCCAGGAATAGACTTGTTAACATGTCTAGAAAGAACTTTATTTTCTATTTTTCTCCCCTGAGGTCATTGGGGAAGTCTGTGAATTGGCTGGATTGCTAAGTGAATAGTGCTGGTTGCTGTATTTTTTATTTAGTTAGCTGTATTTTGAATGGAAAAGTGCCTGTTGGATAGTTTCTGAGCTCTAATGAGCCAAATTACCTTGGGCAGATGAGACGTGCTTCCTTTCACATTCCATTTTGTGCTACAACAGCACAATTCTGATGTACTCTTCTCAGTAACTGTAATCCAGATCTGTTTTCTAATCTCACTGATGTACTGTCTTGAAAATAAAAATTTGAAAGGAAAAAAGCCTCCTTTTACTCAAACTTTAGATCACATTGGGAACCATCCTGAAGAACCCACAGAAATGTTTTTAATCTTGCATGGTGGTCCTCAACTTGTTTGCACATTAGAATGACTCGGGAAATGTTTAAAAAATCCTGATACCTCAGACAAATCGAAATCTTAATCTCTGGAGGTAGGGATGAAGAGAGCTATCAGTATCAGTAGTTTAAAAATCTCCCCAGATGATTCTAAGGTAAAAAGGAGCAGCTAACATAAAAAACAGATCCAAAATAGGTAGTGCTTACCTCATCTCTTGAGTATGGCCAGATCAGTGGTCCTCAGAATGTGATCCCCACATCAGCAGCACAGGCATTGCCTGGAAACTTGTTATAAATGCGAATTCTCCAGCCCAACCCAGGCTTAGTGAGTCATAAACTCTCAGGGTGGAGCCCAGTAATCTTTCACAGGCCCTTCAGGTGATTCTGAGGCACACTGAAGTTTGAGAACCATTGATACAGAACAGTAGAACAGGATTTAAAAAAGGAGAGGGTCAATTAATCTTATGTCATAAAGTTAAATATATGTGATTGTAGGGAAAATGCAAGTTTCTATGGCCAGAATCCTCACCTGACCCTAAACTACTTGATGATGTAATTGGCCTACTGTGTACACACCCGTTGGCAATGAGCCGTTATTGTCTCTGTTACTATAGAAAGAATTCTGCCTAGAGGCAGAGAGGGAGACAGATTGTGAACTTGTCAGAGACAGACGGGATTCCAGCACTGGACCTGCCACCAGAATAAAGCTTGGTATAAACCGTTTTACCCCCAAGTTCAGTTGTTGTTATTTGGTCTCACCAATCCAGAGTGAACTTGCCTGGAGACAGTCCCCCTGAGGTAAGGCAGTGATTTAAGTAAAATAATATTTAAGTGAATTTTAAGCACAATGTAAGTATAAATAGTATGTGTTCTAATTGTTTTTTCCGAGTTTGGTGTAAAATCTGTATTAGAATTCCCTAGTCAAAAATGTTTGCATCCTGAGGATATACTCCAAGTTTATGAAGCATAAATCTCTACAGCAAAGCCCAGAATCCACCTCAGGTGGTTCTCTGTCAAATCAATTTCTCAGAACCATTGTTCTAAATGGATGACACCATATGTGGGGAATGATTTATGAGCTTCATTAAAATATATGGTTCATGTCTTTGATATATTAGTTGAAGTATCTGTAATCATTTAGCTGACTGGTTTGTAAAGTTAATGACAGTTATTAAGTATTCTATCAAATGACCATAGAATATGCAATATTCACTTACTAAAAATGGTTAATGCCATTTTAATATGAATGATATTTCCATTATGACAAAGAGAATAATATAATTTTATATTGTTGACTACTTTGTAAAAGATCATCTGTCTGACATTAAGATGCTCTTGTACTACTTGAAAAAGGTAAAAACAAATTACTATTGATAATAAATAGAAAATGTAGCAATTAAAACTAGTATATCAAGAACTTAATAAAAAGAGAAAAATGATTTTTGGAGGGCTCTATAATCATTCCTTACAGAACTGTATTTTACAGACATGTTATTTGGGGAGTCCCTGGGCTAGAATAAAAAACAGAATCAGGTTTATATTAGCAAGAATTAGGTAATATTGTTTTCAGTATGCTCACCATAACTTTTTGAAATTATCTCTGTGATTTTCACTTGGGAGATAGACACAGCTAACTGTGAAGACTATTCAGTAAGATCTGTTAAGTTTGGTTTTTCTAAAAAAAACCCCAAAACCAAAATATTTTTACTTAGCTTATCAATATATATGAGCATGTTGATTTACAGTGACTGTGTATTGTGCTCACAATGACTATGAATCAAAATATTGAATGTTGACATCTACAGGCCAATGCTACTTTTTTAGAACTAAAGCATTATGAATCTAGTACAAGTGATTTGAATAGTCAAAAGGTTTTTACATATAAACATTCCATCTAAACAATTCACTGGTTCCATCAATTTATAATCTCATGGTTAAGTAACTATACATTGCGTTAATATATAGTGTTAACAATAAGAAGTATAATACCAATACCACCTCTAATAATAATATTAATAATAAGAAAAAGATCACCTACACTAGTTCATATTTATTGAGCGCTTTTTATGTGCCAGGTACTGTTTTGTGTGCTTTTTATGAAATTTATCAGTTAATTTCAAAAAACCTATGAGATAATAGTTCACAGATGAAGAAAGCAGCATAGAATGATAAAACATGTGCCCAAGTCACATACTAAGTGGCAAAGCTGGAACTTAAATTCAGAGCCCTTGCTCTTAATATGAATGTTAAAGTACTGTGTTAATTTAAAATAATGGTTTAATTATTAATCATGCACTAGAGTTCAATTTGGATTTTATGATTTATAGGTTCTAAATGTCCAACTAAGTTTTTCCCAATTGTTTTTTTTCTTTAGGAAACTACTTCTTCACTTCATTGTGCTATGTGTGGCAGGGGATGCTGGTCATGCTCAAGAACAAGGTAAGAAAGAATTATCTTGTTAACTTACTTGCTTTTATGAAAATTCTGCTTCTCAACAGAAAACATACAAGACTTGAAAGCTATCATAACCTTAAATTCAGCATTAAATAATAACAAATTCTACCCAGTACAATGAGACTGTAAGGGTGACGAACCCAATTTTGGGGGGAAATATGACCTTTTAAGAAATTACTCAGATCTTCCATCTGTGGAATTGCTTACATTTTTAAGCAAACTCTTTATAAAAGGGAAGTTTTGTGCAGCAAAAAGGCTTTGCTTGTGACTTCATTTTAAGTGGGAGTTCTTGGGGGTGGCAGACTGTGACTGAATTACCTTTGCACTTCTTGAAACAACACAAGCATATACTAAATGTTCCCTCTAGATTTTCATCATTAAGAAACAAAATAAAATTTGCATACCAGTGGGTTTGGATTTTGTTTAATTCAAATGAAGATGTCTGGAAGATAGTTCAATGTTTTGTTCTGTTTTTGTTTGCTAGCTAATTGCCCTGGTAATATGGCAACGGAGTTTCAAGAAACCTATATATACCCATATTCCCTTAATGTATTCATTTATTAAACATTTTTAAAGTATCTTCTGTTTGCCACATAATATCTTAATTGCCAGTGATTGAAATATGAATAAGATAATGTCTCTGCCCACAAATTTTTAAAAAAGTGCATTTGTCAAAGGTCAAACAAAAACAGTCAAAGAAAGAAATCTCTGAACTTTGCTGGATCTATAGACAGTATCACCATGGCCCCAGTTTTTTTCTCCTCTGCCTTATATCAAGCAGGGCTGCCAAGTTGTCCATTCTGACATATCAGTTTTTCAGTCCAGTGACTGGTTCAGCGAGCTACTTGTTAATTTGTTCAATCAACCAAATAATAGTAAGAAAAAAGCAAGTAAACAAAAACAAGTAAATGAAATACATGTAGGTAGAGAGAGGGCACAAAAGAAGGGGTGATACTGTATCAGACTGACCAAACTAACAAGTGGACATAGGTAAGTATTCTGTCAAATAGCACGTAGGTGAGTTGAAACGTATCTTAGAAGGCATTTGCTATTTCCCTTTTATGGAGAAATTGTTAAATTAGGCAACATGTCACGTGCAACTTCATGAAATGCTATTTTTGACGGAGTCATTTCTGTTAGTTTTTCTCCTCTTCTTGGCTACTCAAAGCAGAAATAATCTCTATTTTTTGTTATTACTGTTACAGTTTCTAAGAGCTTATTGTGTACTAGTCACTGTGCTGGTAGAATATATATTTTTTCACCACTAGTTCATCCCAGAGTTTTTATAATTATGCCCATGATAGAATTGCTGAAACCCAAATGAAGAAGAATAAGTAACTGCCCCAGTGTTACAGGTCATTACACAGAAGAACCAAGAGTTGAACTTAGGTATTTTGATGGCAGAGTCTACAAATTCTCTAAAATTAAGCTTCTTGGACCAGAGAAAATAAAGAAGAGAAGGAGAAATGCCCTTATTAATTAAATACAAACTGTGTGTCCTGTTGGTAGCTGAAACTTTACAGATATGCTAATGTTTATAATGAACCTGCTGAATAGGTATTAGAGATGAGAAAACTAAGGCTCAAAGAAGGGACTTATCCAGGCTCACATAACTAAGGCTTGGGTATAGGTTGGTTGATATCTGATGATAGAAAAGCCAAAAAATCCCCCAAAACAAACAAGCAAAAAAACTCTTTCCACTATCCATCCTCTTGCTTCATAGTTACCATCCATGGGGGTGATGAGTTTCATAATTACAAAATGTATCACAAAATATTAAAAACCTAGGCAAAGAAAAATATAAGGAAAACTGAATATTTATGAAGTTTTCTTAATTCAGAACCAATGAAAGGAGTAAATGAAAAAAATGATATCTATCTCTCAGCCTTAAGATTTTACTTACAGAATACAAAGTGTGCTCCTTTATTTCAGGATGAACATTGTAATTTTTAACCTTCCTATAACTATGAAATTTTGCTGTGAGTTCTTAACAAAGGTAAAGATTTTTAAAAACCTCTTGAGTTTAGAAAATTGTACAGTTTTGAGTACAGAAAAGAAATGAAAGTAGTAGTATGTTATCAGAAACTTAGAACCACTTTTTCTTAAAGTAGATTTTTTTTGTTAAATTGGTAAAATATAATAATGTAACATCTAATCAGGAGATTAGATTATTTTAATGGAAATTGAGATTTTATAATGACCACAAATATCATTTGGGACCTTGATGCTGCCAAATATGTTATTTGAGCTAGAGCTTATCCCAAATTAGACTTCTCAGTAATAAATATATTTGTGCTTATGGGTGTTTTCAAAATTTAAAAGAAGTATCAAAGTAATGTAAGAACATAGTTTAAAAGTCAGGTTGTACAACAGAACATCACAAAAAAACAGTATCCCTTGATCTACCTACTGCTGCAGCCCTCTACCCAAACTCTTTAAGCACCTTCTTTTGGTGTTCTTTGCTAACCATGTTTAACCCCAATATTTCTTAATAGTGTATATTGTATTGACTCCCTATTTTTGATAATGAAGATTTAACATTTTTATACTATCCTATACCCCCTTTTCCCTTTTTTGCATCCTCTCAATATAGTTCTTTCAAAATATTTTATTAATATTTATAATTTCCGTTATGACCATGTGTGTATTTTTTTAACCACTGAGTCATGTACATTTATATTTCCTTTCCTGTACAGTATTACGAGATTGCCTCCTTTTTTTGTTTGCTATGTTTTCCATGTCACTATCACTTATTCATCTCATATACTCCAAAAGGATTCCAAAACTCTTTGAAAATATTTTTTAATAAGTACACCAAATACTCTAACCATTGTATTTTTCCCCCCTTGGAGATATTCCTTCAAACAGCTAAATTCTTGAGTTCTACTGTGGCTGGGAGTTTTCTAAGTTTCCTGTAGAGGTGATGTCCTTTACCTGTATTAGATCCAGTGCTGTAGAACTTATATTGTCCTTTTTCATTATCCATTTGCTTATTTGAGGAGCATGTCATTCAGTAGCATCCTGAGAATGTATACTTAGGTGGTAAACTTTTTTGCAAAATTGCATCTTTGAGAATGTGTTTATTTCATTCACCCATATACTTGAGGGTAGTTTCGGTGGATATAGAATTTTATATAAATAGTGTTCTATCAGAATTTTAAAGGCTTTCATCTATAGTCTTCGGGCTTGCAGTTAAAGAATCTGATGTTCTATTTTTGTTGATTATTTATAAATGATGTTTTAATTTTTCCCTCTAAATGCTTAGGATTGTCTATTGTTAGTGCAGGCCTTTTTGTATATTGTGCTGGGCACTCAGTAGGTCCTTTCATTGAGGAAACATCTTTCATTTTTTTGGGAATTTCCTCTGTTCTTTCTGATACATTTATTTATTCTTCCTGCAAATTCTGCTGGTCAGCTATTGAATCTCCTGGATCGAGCTCCTTATTTCCTTATTTTTAGCTCCTATTTTACATCTTTGTTTTTTATTCTATTTTATATTAGATTTTCATTAATCACTATTCCAAACATTCAAATTTTTATTTCTGCTGTATTTACATTCTTAGGAGCTTTCTCACTCAAATCATTTATTAAAAAAAAAAGCATCTTGGTCTTCTTTATTTGATGTAATATCTACTGTTATCTCTCTAAAGAATACTTTTTTTGAACTTTTCTTTTGCTCTGCAGTTTTCTTTTTTTCCCTAAACATTTTTGTTTGTTTGGTCTTTTATGTTGGAAAAGTTCTATAGAAGTCTGTACTACTTGTGCTATCATTGTAAAGCAAGGCACTAAAAATATGCTTGGAAATCTGCACGGGCAGGCTTATTAACTAGTATATTTTACATAGAGGGTGATAAGGTAGGAACTTAGCTGACCATCTTGTTGTTGAACCACAAATGTCTACGTCTGTGCAGTTTAGAGAAGAATTCTCCAATATCTTACTTGTAGAATACAATCCTGGTTGCCCCGGTTATTGGAGTTAAGTGATATGAAGATGTTCTTGCAGAAGACAAGGGGCTGCCCTTTCAACATTTAGAATGTAGATTTTAGCTGAACCCCTTTGTTCTTATTATGGTGCTACTCTTCCATCTTCTGCTGTGATTGATTTAATGTTTGTACATAAGTAAGCTTTAATCTTCTGTTGTGGTCTCAAAGCTTCTTACACAGACTTTCAAACTCTTCCCTCCTCCCCCCATCTGATGCCTCTCTCCTGAATTCAGTGATTTGTTGCGTTCAATTCTTGAGCCATTTCTGGATGTTGCCATAGGAATTGGCCCACCTATCATTAACACCTGCCCCTACAAGCCCTTAGTGTTCAGTTTTTTCAGCTCTGCTAATTTCTTCATATGCTTTTCATCTTCCAGAACTTTCTTATCTCTTTCCCACTATTGTCTCTTCTACCCATTCACTTTGCCAATGTAGTTTTAAATGATATTTCCTTATTCTCATTTTAGTGAGAGTTTAAGACTAAGCAGAGATAAATATCTGTTATTTGCCATGTTTTCAGTTATTCCTTTAAATCTTAACTCAGTAAGAAAGTCATTTAAAATGTCCTGTTAATAAAAGCCACAGTAATCAAGACAATTTGGTACTGGCACAAGAACAAACCCATAGACCAGTGAAACAGACTAGGCAGCCCAGATATTAATCCAAGAATATATGGTGAATTAATACACAATAAAAGAGTCATGGATATTCAATGGGGAAATGACAGCCTCTTCAACAACTGGTGTTGGCAAAACTGAACAGCTACATGCAAAAGAATGAAACTGGATTATTGTCTAGCCCCATACACAAAAGTAAATTCAAAATGGATGAAAGACCTGAATGTAAGTCATGAAACCATAAAAGTCTTAGAAGAAAACATAGGCAAACATCTCTTGAATATAAATATGAGCACCTTTTCCTAAGCACATCTCATCAGGCAAGGGAAAGAAAATAACAAATGAACAAATGGAACTACATCATGCTAAAAAGCTTCTGTATAG